ATGCTGACTCTCTGTAAACCGCTTAGAGTGGCCTGAAAGACCTATGAAGTGGTATATAAGTCTACTGCTATTGCTATTGCTATTATCTGGGCCGGAGCCATGCTTAGACCCCTGCCTGGAGTAGGGCTTGATGGCCACCTAGGCTGCCTTGCCAGCTTGTCTGGAATATACCTTGGTGGAAAGCCCTGGCTGCACTGAACCCTCAGGGACCCGGTCTGCCATGGCTGGAATGTTGAGAATTAACTGCTAAGGCAGGGAAACCCCACTCACCACCTTCATGGTAAGAGATAGTTGCCAAAGCGCTCAGAAAAGAGACACTCGAGGCAATAGGAAGCAAGGCCAGCCAAGGTAGATAAAAGTGAAGCCTTCTGCTGCGAGCTCCAACTGCTCCCAGCACCACGGAGGTCAACAGATGTTGCATAATGACCCAGGGGAGCCACGCCCTCCTATACCGCCACCTCAGTTGCTGACAAGTAGAGGAAAATGAACCAAGCCGCCGGCAAACCAGACAAAAAGGCTCCACACGGCGACCTGCAGAGCTAGGCGACCAGGCAGCTGCAGCTAGAACTGCGGGAAACTGAAAGCAGGAAACAAAATGGCAGCCAGAACTTTCAACCTCTTCAAATTGGCCACCCAAAATTGCCACCAGAACTCTCTGGGAGCCCTGAAGCAACATGCCGATTGTCAGCTCCTTAAACAAATACGGTTGGCAGCAGCAGAGACCTCAGCAGGGAGCCTGATCACAGCGGGGAGGCAGCGATCGCGCTGGCGTCGGCACTCCAACCCACGTGCCTCCCTCAACAGCTGCCTGCAGTTTCGCGGTGCCCGGGTGAACCCAGGACACCGGGGAGGCTGAGAAAGGTGATTTTGTCCAATTAAGGAAAAACTGAGAAATTTTGCTCACCCAGCCTGCTCACAATGAAGGCAAGGAAAAATTCCTTTATTAAAATGGAGAGTCCAAGCAATCTGTTAGGAATGAAGAGAAACCTGAAGCACTTCCACTGGGCTGACTGAATTGAAAAAAACTGAGGATGGTCAGCAGCAGAGGCGTAGCTTAAAGTTTCAATTCAGTCCTGGGCAAATTGGCTGTATTTAACCCATGCTTGGACTCATTCTTGTCTTAATTTCTGTTAAGTTTGAAGTTTAATAACATTTGTATGCCGCCCAATCCCGTGGGACTCCGGGCGGCTAACAATACAGTAAATCAAAAAGAAGAAGAAAAGATAGATTTAAAAAACACATCATGCACTCCATTCTGAGTTGGGCGGGACCATATTTTGGGTTCAACAGCCCCAGGCCTGCCGGAACAGCCAGGTTTTAATGGCTTTACGGAAGGCCG